TCTCAACTACTTCCAAGACACCTACAACATCAGAAGGCATGGCGGTACGTGCTGCTGTTGGTGTTTTTGATTATGTCGATTGGAGTTGTTGAAGCGTCTTTGGGTGTGGAAAGCGAATTTAGGTACTGACGTTTTCTTCTTGTGCCTTTCCTCGTGCAGGTCCATATATTGTTGTTCGGCGTGTATTTCTGCGCAGAGTTCCGCTTCGGGGATTTTTCCGTGAGCTCGGAGTATGGCGCGAGTGGAGCGCCAGTGAGGACCAAGGCCGGAGATAACGACTGTGACGAAGGCTTCCTCAGATATCGATCCTCCGCATCGAAAGAGTTTGTCGCGCGATTCGCGACAGCGGCTGATAAACGCCATTCCCTTTTTGCCTGGTTTCATTTCGACTGTTGTCAGCTGTGCCATTAATCAACTTTGATTGACGCTGTCTGTTGCTTGATACAGGTTCTTCAAATGGTTGTAAGCGAGCTTGGCGGAGTTGCCGTATCCCCGATAAGACCGAATGTTCTGCTGCTGGTTTGGAGTTACGTTCCTCAGCAGGATCGTGTAAGCCATCATTGACTGATACGTGTACTGCTGCTTGTTGTATTGCGTTCCGTGTGTTGGGTATGGCAGGGACCCGTCGAAGAATCTAAGAATCTGCGCGCCTTCCATCATTAGCTCGAACTCGAAGGACCAGGTATAGAAATCCTTCCCGTCGAAAGGTGTTGATGTTCGGAGTTTCAGAACGTGCGCGAATTGCGGCTGAACCTGAAGTGCATCCAATGTCTTTTCTTGTCCAGGTGAAGGCTGTTGGCCCGCGCTAAGGTTCGTATGGAGCAAAGGTAGGTTGCTGTTGGTTTCCGCGCGCATAGGATGAGCCGTCGAGGCTCATTGGTGTAACGTCGTTGTTGTTGTTGCTGTTGTTTGACTGCGCATGTGCCGTTTGCTGATGCTGCTCGTAGAAGGACATGAAGGAGAAGAACTTCTCCATCATGCTTGGGTCGAAGCCCGCGGCTTGATTTGCGGGAGTTTAGTAGACCTAGCTGCTGGTCCTGTTGCCGTGCCCTCCTCTGTCTGTAGGCCAGAGGCAGGAGGTGGAGTACGAGTAGTACCAGGAGAGCCTTTAGAGGAGCTTCTCTCCTTCTGCGTTGCCATGCCTTCTGATGTTGTAGGTGTCTTGGAAGTAGTTGAGTTTGCCTTGATAGCTCTCATACCATGTTGGGCTGAGAAAAGCCCTTAGGATCTCTGTAGGACTAAACTCTGGGTAGGAATGTTGTAGTTGCGGAAGCGTTTAATAAGAGTGTTGAACCACCTTGCGCTGGTATGTGAGGGCAAAGTAGATTGATTAAAACAAAGAGGTACAAGGCTTTTATAAGAGTACAAGGAATATGAAGAGATACAACTAATAACTGTTTTACTGTTGCTGTTGCGGCTCGATATAGTGACGACTCGGGCAACTGCTCTGTATCGAGTCAGTTGTTTGTCCTTGCTATCGCGCTGTATTTGTCAAGTCAAAGGTCGCTGACCTTTGACCTTCGCGTAACCTCCAGCGGTTACTTCATTTGTCAACCTCCGATAGTTGACTCGCCGATGCTTTGTTGTGCTTCGGTTCGTTTATGACTTAGTGTTTCATCACACGACAGAAGCGCTTAAATTACTTGTTTCCAACACCGCCTTCTATACTTTGTCGGCAAAGGCCACTATGGCCTCCTAGCTTGCTTCCAGCTTGCTGTCATTGAGCTCATCCAGTGCATACCCCTCCACCTTCTGGATTGCCTGCCGTGAATGGACGCATCACAATGGCACGAGGCGAAATATACTTTTGCTCCATTGCAGAAAAAAATGATCTCGTGATTCTTCGTCTGCAATGCGCGTACCCAATCTCTGATGTGTGACTAGTAGCAAATCGGCGTTGAGCCAGTTAGCAGCTCCGAGAGCATGATGACAAAGCTGCCAGCAGGCAAGAAGCATAACAATATGCACAATTGTTGACACAGGTGAAGATATACATGGAGCAATTGCAAGAATGTATAAGGCAGGGATGTTCATAAGCATTTATTTCATAAGCATTTATTTCAGAAGCAATCCAACCTGAAGACGTCGCTCTTGGTGGTGACCACGTGTGTGCGGTTGTAATCCGGGTCCACATAGCCAGGAGTGCCCGCCACTCTGGTGGCATCGCCCTCGCAGTAAGTGAGGCGCTTGAGCAGCCCAAAGTCAGCCACCTTGGCGTGCATGTCGGTCGTCACAAGGATGTTGGCGGGCTTGATGTCGCGGTGAATGATGGGCGTCGCAAACCCATGCAGATACGCCAGGCCCTCTGCTGCTCCTTGCACCAGGCGCAGCCGCTGCCGCAGTGAGAGAGGGTCTGAAAGAAAGAGAGAAAATAGAAGGACGTGCAAATAAAGTGGGATGCTTTAGACCATGTAACAAAGAGGGTGGTGTCTGTGTGTTTGTAAATGCGTATGATTGAGTGTGAGTGAGAGTGAGTGAGTGTGTGTGTGTGTGGATGTGTGTGTGTGTGTGTTATTCTACCCTACCAATCTTGGGAAAGATTGTAACTCAATGTTGGAGCATTCTTGGTATAACTCAAGAAGGTAGGTATAACTTGCTCTTGGTCTTGAAGATGTGATGCTGCAAGTCCCTGTTACCCACAAACTCTTAAACCATAATCTGTTCCTGCTTTCCGGTCTCCACATTCTGATCCACACAGAAGCCCAGCAGCCGCACCAGGTTCACATGGTTGAGCGTTGCCATGGCTCGCACCTGCAGGAGATGATGCATTCAGAGGACAAAAGAGGAGAGGTTTAGGTCTTGGGTACGCCCGGTGAACCCACAGCTATGTTTCCAGGGGCGGATTCGCTCCTTGCTGTGTGTGAGGATGTCGCACCAGCAGTGCATGTTGCAGCTGCTCCTAGCTTGGGCCTCACCTCTCTCACACAGGCCATACAAGAGCCTCACCTCTCTCTCAAAGTCGTTGGTCATGACAGTGGATAGCTTGATGGCCCACATCTGCCCCTGTGGCGAGTACCCCTTGTACACGACGCCGAAGCCGCCCCTCCCCACCTCGCTCTCCTTGGCCCAGTTGTTTGTGGCCTTCACCATTTGCTGCAGTGTGTATTGCTTACGCACTTCCAGCCCCTGCCACTTCCCTGTATGTACACACACAAAACACACATGATGAAGCATGGGGCGAGTGAGAGGTGTTGGGAGAGATAGGAGCGGAAGAATGGAGGCGGGGATGCAGCAGTGGAAAAGTTGTGCAGGAGTGCAAGAGTGACTCGGCATGGGTGCGAGGTTGGGGGGTTCTCACTTGGTCCGTAGCGCCACAGCAAGCTTGAGAGCACAGCAGCCAGCAGAAGGAAGCCAGCAAATCAGCCCACCGCAATGCCAACTATGGCGCCCGTGGAGAGAGAGGACACTGCAGAGGAAGAAGGGAGGAAGAAAAGAGGGAGGAAGAAGGGAGGAAGAAATAACAGAAGCAATGGTTGATGTCAAACAGAAAGCTGGCGTTTGGGAAGCTAGGGTTGGGTAAAGAGGGTTTAGGTGAGAGAGGTCAGGAGAGCTGGGCGAGGAAACAACAACCAAGATGGGTCGGATATGCAACACAAAGTAGACGCAGCGGGTGATGTAAGCCTGCACTAAAACAGAGTCTAACCACCTTGTTAGTGTGCAAGTGCGATAGGCATACCAATGATTGCTGTACAGTTGACAACTGTGCAGAGCTATAAAAAGTACTCTTTCCACCATGTCAGTGCGTCAGTGCAAAAAGGCTCACCAGTGGTGGTGGTGGAGTTGACAGTGGTGCAGGTGGAGCAGTTGGGCGAGTCGAGAGGCGAGTAGCCGGCACGGCAGGGGCAGGTCAAGTTGGAGGGGGAGGCTGTAGAATTCCACTACTTTAACAGCTTGATAGAACTTGGAAGCACGGTTCCAACGCACCAAAGATTGCAGGAAACGGTCCACTACAGCCAGAGATACACACAAACATAGCAGTGATAATGACTTGGTTTTATATTCAGGTTTGTGCTCTCTGGTTTTATACTAGGACGCAATCCAAAAACAAAGCACACAAGAAAGTGTCGACCCAGGTCGCGCGCTGAATTTCGTCGACGAGAAATTCCGAGCCTTGAATTTCGCCGGGTGAATTCCATTGATTGGAATACTGTAGACGAGAATTTCGGCGACCAGAACTCCGTCGACCACCGACTGTAACTCCCGTGCAAATTTCGTTGACTTCGACACTTCTTTGCCGAGTTTCAAACCAAATGCAACCTGCGATCGATTTCGCCAAACTGTCCCCAAACAGTCCCCAATCTGTCCTGATAGGACACTTTTGGGACACTTGAGTCGAAAGGTTTCCAGTTCGAAACTCGCGTGCACCATAACCAGCGCCTTAGCAGAAACTGTCCTTTCAAGACAGATTGAAGGTTACGAGTTCAGATTCCAGCGCCGGCATTTTGTTGCTCATGGCAGCATTTCCTTCTAACACGCCCCCTTGTGAGGAGCATGCTGGATCAGCCCCACTGTTGCACAACAACGATTGAAGGCTGCCTTGTCGAGCCGCTTCGTGAAAAAATTCGCGGGTTGCGCCGCCGTGGGGATGTGCTGCAGCTCCAACTTCTTCATGCTTCATGCGCCCCTGCAGCCCGCCCGCCTGGCTGAGCTGCACCGCAGACATGTTGTCGACGTGCAGGGTGGTGGGAACACCCTTCTTGAGTAGTTAAAACTCCCACAGCAGGAACCTCAGCTTGCGTCCCTCCTTTCCCGCTTCCACCGCAGCCACAAGCTCGCTCTCGGTGGAGGAAAGCTTGGTTGCACCCTGCAGCTTCTTGGCCTGCCAGGAAACGGCAGCTCCGCCAAGCTTGAAGAGGTAGCCTCCCGTGGAAATCTGGTTCTCCTTGTCGCCCGCATCATCCGCATCTGAATACCCCACGAGGGTCAAACTTTCCGGTCCTCCCTTGAGGCAGCCCAGTAGGAGAGTGTGCGGAAGAGCTCATGCCAATGCGCATCCGTCCTTAGGTGTGCACCTGCTGCAAGGCGGCTGCACACAAAAGAGAGGTAAGGACGGGTTGACATGGCTGCAAACTGCACCATGCCGAGAATTGATAAGTACTCGGTCATGGTTTGGTCGGCAAATTGCCCGGCATCCTGCTTTGGCAAAGCTGATAGAGGAGAGAGGAGTGATCAACTGCTTCTTCGGTGGCGCCCCCTTGAAGAACCGCTGCTGCACCTTCGCCACGTATGCATTCTGGTGCAGGAAGAGTGTCCTGTTGGGGTGGTCGCGCACAATCTGCAGCCCCAGGTAGTGCTCCACTGGCTCCACCCTACGGAGCTTAAACGCCTTGGCCAGCAGCTCCTTCAAGTCCTGCAGCAGCTGCTTGTCTTCACTTGCCGCTAGCAGGTTATCCACGTAGATTAGCAGCCACACTCGCTTCCCGCTCGCCCCATCCTTGTAGTATAGGGCCTGGTCCACAAGGTTCTTCCTGTACCCCTCCACAAGGAGCACCTTGTCCAACTCCTTGTACCACAGAAGGGGACTCTGCTTGAGTCCGTAAAGGCTCTTTTGCAGGAGGCACACCTTGCTGCTACCGTCGGTGAAGTAGGGTAAGGCGGCTGCTGCATGTCGATCTCGTGGTCGATGGTGCCGTGAAGAAATGCATTCTTCACATCATGCTGCAGCAAATCCAGGTCCATAGCTGCTGCAATTGAGAGGAGCATGCGAACGGTGGTGTAGCTGCCAACAGGAGCATACGTGTCGTCGTAGTCGATGCCGAAGCGCTGGCTGAAGCCTTTTGCCACGAGCCTGGCCTTGTACTTCTCCACAGTGCCATCAGGCCGCAGCTTCTTCTTCAGCAGCCACTTGACGCCGACTGTTTTGCGGCCTTCGGGTAGGTCGGCCAACGACCAAGTGCCTTGCTCATCAAGGCTCTCCATCTCCTCCTTCATAGCAGCCCACCATTCCTCTTCAGGTCCGGTCAATGCTGCTGCCAGATCAAGGATGACACCTCCCCAAGCGCCTTCCTCCTCCTCATCCTCGTCCAGGTACTCCACTTCGTCGTCGCGGTCTGTGTCGCAATCGTCCTCAGCAAGGTACGCCATGTCGTACGGGTTGTCCTCATCGTCCGCAACATGTGCCGTCATGGCTGACGGTTGAAACCGTACAGGTGTCACCCCCTTGTTAGGCCTGCTAAAGCGACGTGGGGGATGTGGAATGGGCTGGATGGGAGAAGCTGCAGGTGAAGGCTCATGCTCATGGGCCACTGACGGCTGCTCATCCACTGCCATCTCTCCTTCCTCCTCATGATCAGCCGTGTCACCTCCGTCCTCAAAGGGACCATCTTCTGGTCCCACAGGCGCCGAATCAGCACTTGAGGAAGGACCTGGAGGTGGCCCTGACGTGGGTGCCTTGCTGCTCGCAGGGCCCACCAAGCGATCAATGTGTTGCTCGCCCCCCTGCACGGACGGCACCGGGACCACGATGATAGTACGTGGTGGCGGCAGATTCTTCTCAGGGTCGTGGGGCTCAGGAAAGAGAGATGGGAGAGACACAAAGGGTGGTGTGGGCTAGTCACTCCCTTCACCCACACATGCACGCCACTCCTGCCACCTTTCAAGTGACATATGCTTATAGAAATGTGCATCTCGGGTGATGACCATGCGCTTTGACTCAACATCCACCACACGCCATCCTTTGCTTTCCATGCTCATGCCCAAATGCATGCCCCAACGAGTCTTGATTGCAAGCTTCCCCTCACGCTCATGCTCAGTGATGAGGTATTGCACCATGCACCCAAACACACGAACCATGGACACATCGGGCTTGACTTTGAAGCACATCATGGGGCAGGGTGGACTGGTGCACACGAATTACCACCCACAAGAACTGCTGGAAAGCGAAGTGCCACTAGTGTGCTTTCACCCCCATGTGCCCCAACATCACACGCATGCCCTCAGTTACCGTACGGTTGCGACGTCCAACCACACCTTTCTGCTGGGGGGTGGAGGGGCAGGAAAGTTGATGCAGGATTCCTTGTTGCTTCAGTAGCAGCAAGAACTCGTTCGACATAAACTCCCCTCCCCAGTCCGATCGCAACACCTTCAGTGTCATCCCGGTCTGGCGTTCAGCTTCGGGAAGCCACTCCTTGAAGGCAGCAAGCGCGTCGCTCTTCAGCTTCAATGTCTTCCCCCAGGTGTACCGTGAGGCATGGTCCACGAAAAGAATGTATTACCTGCTTCCATCCATGGCTGGGGTCTGGAATGGACCGCATACGTGAATATGGACCAGCCTAAGAACCTGCTCCTCTCGCTCGTCATGCAGCGGAAATGTTTGGAGAGTGAGCTTTGCTTCGTGGCAGGAAGTGCACGGCATATCCTCACCTCCTTTCTCCAGGTCAATACCTAACACGCCGTTGCTCGTGGCTGTCCGCTTCACACCATCAAAGTGGACGTGCCCAAGGCGAGCGTGCCATAGGTTGGGCGTTGCCTTGGAGCCCACCGCGTACGTCTTGAGGCTGGCCGCTTCGTCCTTCATTTCTGGCTTGCTTGACGCCACATCAGCAACCGCCTTAGTCATGCCGTTGCATGTCACTGCAGCCACTGTGTCGTTGCATGCCACTCCAACCGCCGTGCCATTGCATGTCGCTGCAGCTGCTGTGCTGTTGCATGCCGCTCTAGCCATCCTGCCGTTGCTTGCTGGTCACGGTTTCAAGCAAAGGCAGATTAGACGATGGCGGTATCGGGCCGTTGGAGCCACGTGTCCTCCCGATGCCACGATGTGATTGACACCTTCTTCGGTTCGCAGATTTGCTCCCCTGTCCGTGAGCTGCCCAGGGGAGACCAATTTGGCCTTCATTCCTGGCACAAAGAGGACATCATGCAGGGTCACACGCAAACCGTAGTGCCATCCAGCAAAACCTCACCAGCGCCGGCGACCTCCTGCACTGAACCATGAAAACCTTTGACGGATTTCGTTGCAGATGGGTCATGAATCACCGTGAACCACTCCTTGTGGCAGGTCATATGTTGGGAGCATCCCGAGTCAAGGAACCACAAGTCCTTGTCGTCGGCCAGCAACTTTGCAGCCAAACACGCGACGGTGAGTGCCACGCCCTTCCTGTCTCCTTCAGCTACATTCGCGGCTGCCGCGGGCATTGCATCCTTCTTCTTGTTGGGGCACTTGGCTGCCATGTGCCCCTCCTCATGGCAGTTGTAGCAGCACCCCTTGAAGGGGGTTCGCTTCTTCTCCCTCTTGCCATCCTTCTTCTTGTCCATCTGCTCCCTTCCTCCTTTTCCTTCCTTGCCGTTGACCCCCGTTGTAGCCACGATGGTGTTGAAAGTGCCCGAGAAAGCAGATGCATTGCTGGTGATCTGCTTGTAGCTCTGTTTGATGGAGAGAGTCTGCTCTCCATCAACACCTCGTTGCACACACGTTCCACCGTCATGTCAGGGCTGGAAATGTTAAGCTTGCGGTGAAGAAACCCGTACTCCGGTGGCAGGCCCTTCAACACGTGGGGGGCGAACGTGGCCATGTAGACCTCCTGTCCAGTGGTCAGCAGCTCTGCTCGGATGGTGCGGGTCCTATTGCAGTAGGATTCCGCCGTCTCATCATCTCCCTTCCTGAGCTAGGCTAGCTGGGTCCGAAGTAGGGAAGCGTGGAGGGCATTACGAGCTTGATAGATAGACAAGATACATGCCCATGCTAGCTGCCCGACTTTCTCTTGCTGAGAGAAACCAGAGATGGACACTCAGATGGGTGGAGAAACACAGCGGTTCAGCACCATGAATGCAATCATTTGGCCCTTTGCATACTCCCTTCGTTGCATGGGGTTGTTTGTAGCCGGGCTTGGTGCTGTCCCGTTGCAAAACTTCCACAAATCAGCACACTGGAGCTGAGGTTGGATGGCGCTGACCCACGCGGTGAGGTCGTGCCTTCCCTCTAGCAACGGCGTCACGGAAATGTGCTCGACTCCGAGTTTCAAACCGAACGCGACCCGAGATCGATTTCGCCGAACTGTCTTCAAACTGTCCCCAATCTGTCCTGACAGGACACTTTCGAGACACTTGAATCGAAAGGTTTCTAGTTCGAACCTCGCGTGCACCATAACCGGCGCCTTAGCAGAAACTGTCCTGAATCTGTCCAGGAACACTTTCAGGACAGATTGAAGGCCACGAGTTCAAATCTCAGCGCCGACATTTTGTTGCTCATGGCAGCATTTCCTTCTAACACAGGCGGGGGCAGGCGACACGCACTGCCCATGGCTGTCACACGGGCCGTTGTTCGTGATGCTGCAGAACGCCTGGCAGGCTGCGCTAGGTGGCGTTGGCTGAGCACTCCGCGCCCGCACTCAGTGTAAGGTAGTTGCCCGCCACACTCACCCTCGCCTCCTTGCCTGCGCCCACCACCGAGTGATCCCGCATCGCAGTGAAGCTGCTGGCACATTTCCCAATAGTGCCGTCGCCCGTGGGTGATCTGAGTGGGGCAGACCTGGCAGCCAGTAGCGAGGAGCAGGGCATCGCCAAAGAAGAAGTTGTGAGCCAAGTTGATGAGCGTATCGCCATCCACCACAATGCTCTTGAAGGTGCGGTTGATGCGCCCGTACAGGCTGATGCCGCTCACATTGCTGGGGGGAGTAGGAGGAGCAGGGAAGTGTCAACAGGTGTATTCACGCCCATGTTGAAGTGAGCACAAAAACCAATTCCCTTAAATTTACCAACCATCAAAAGAGCATGTCCACAAGGTCAGCTTCTTGCATACACGTGAGCTGCACAAGTGCATGAGGGAGTGGGAGTACCGTGCTTGAACCTGCAGTGAGTAAAGAGTGAGCAAACTGATTGTCTCACATTTGGTTGACACACTTGTCGAATATGCACTCTGGCAGAGGCCTATAGAGGTAGTTGTTGCTCATCATGCTGCCTGCACACTGCACACAGCACTCAGCGCACAGCATACAGCACAGAGCACAACAGCACATGGCACACACCATACAGCACATGGCACACGGCACACAGCACACAGCACACAACACACAGAGCACGACACACAGCACACGAGACACAGCACACAGCGCACAACACTTGGCATACAGCACACAGCATACAGCACACGGCACACAGCACACAACACACGACACACAGCAGACGGCACACAACGCAGCTGCACCTCATCAATGCAAGATCTAGAAAGTAGCAGCACGAGCAATAGACACTCGCTAACTTCAACATGCATACACAACGAGAAACTAGATTCCACACAACACTTCCCCACCTCCCTCCCTATGAGTCTGTGTGTGGTGTTTGCCACTCGTTCTTCACTCTACTGCAGTTCATGACATGCTGCATGACTCACAACCATGCAAGGATGACCCTTGCATAGCAACTTAGCCCTACGATCTATGACACATACATAGCATGTGTCACATATACTTGACTCTAGTCTTGGCGGGCCAGCCCTCTTCTTGCTTCTCATGTCAACACCGTTTTTCCATTTTCACCATGCTTACCATTCAGGACATGAGCATCATTCCTGGTAACAGTTGTCTCCCCAATGCGTACATTGCTGGTAAATATGCCGTGCAATAAATATGCTAGTGCTCTGCTTGGGGCACATGTGAAACATGTGGCACCATTGTCTGGGCTGGTCAAGGCACATAGCCTATGATTCAGAGGTGGTGCACCTCGTACTGTCGAACATTCAAGAGCTTCACCTTCCACTTTCATGTGCAAGCCTACAGTGAAAAGAGAAGGAGCTAATTAAACGTTGTGTGTCATGCGATGCGCCACAGCCACTCACATGCACCACAGCCACTCACATGCGCCACAGCCACTCACATGCGCCACAGCAACTCAATTGCGCCACAGCCACTCACATGTGTCACAGCCACTCACATGCGCCATAGCAACTCACATGCGCCACAGCCACACACATACGCCACAGCCACTCACATGTGCCACAGCCACTCACATGCGCCACAGCCACTCACATGCACCACAGCCACTCACATGCGCCATAGCTCGGGTAGCGAGCAGCTGGCAGATGGCAGAGTGCCCTCGATGCTGCTGTTGTTCAGCCAGCTGCAGAGAGAAGGCGGAGTGGGAGTAGAAACAGGGATATCATAAAGAGGCACAAAGACGGAGGAGCAGACACAGACACAGAAGACACAGACAAAGAGAGAAATTGAGAGCAAGAGAAGTCGTAATGAGTGGTTTGTGACAGAGTGCAAGCAATTAACACTTTGCCTGCGTGCCCTCTGCATGTGTTCCCATCTGCCCTAGGTACTTACGGCCCTATGGGGTATACCTCCAGCGCCCATGACTCAGGTTTGGTCTTGATATTGCAATCAACAGCTTGCGTCGTCGGCCGAAGGCTGTGGGCGCTTGATAGCACAGCTTTTGGCCACACACGAGGAGGCGACAAGACTAGATTAGCATCGGAGACAACACACACTAAGAAGCTCACACGGGATATCTCTTAGGGAAAAATCATGAAGCGCCTACTGCAAGTCCAAGGCACCTTGCTGACGCTGCTGCCACCGGCTTCAGCATCCACCATCACACTTGTCCTTTCCAGCAACTGCACCGTTGTTTGATCAACAATCAGAGTGTTGACACGCACCCGTCGACCACATTGACAGCTGAACGTGGACGAACCCAACAGCCCATGTGCTCAATGCAAATACCATCACCTCCTCCACCTCCTCACCCAACCCCAGCTCCCCCTTCGGTTCTGAGGCCGCCCCTTGCAACTCATGATGCACCTAGCGTGGTGGCACCACTGTGCAGGCCAGTTGCCCACAGCTGCCTAGGCATTCTCTAGCATATTGTGGTCACGTCCACCTCCACATAGGGGAACGTGCGTGGTAGAGGGAAAAGAGAAGGCCACCTGCCTCGGCCACCACTCAGCCGCTCAACAACTCGCCAGGCAGGAGGTCAAGCATATACCACCTGACCGGTGCCGACAAGGGGAACCTCGGTGAATTCTTCCCCCGCCGTCCTTGTTGCGGCTGCCCCCCCTAGCAAGGCGCCTCATGATCCCTGGGCTGGACAAGTGTTGGCTGTACTGGAGGAAGGGGCTGGGGCTGCGGTGGCGGGTAAACCACCAGCATGGCTGGCCTCACTTGCTGCATGACACGAAGCAAGGAATTTGCTCCAATTTTGGCAACCAGCATGGAAAATGGGTGGGCCTGCACCTGGAGCAGCACACCACACCACATCTCCATGGCCGCTTGCGGAAGTAGGTGCGGAGCGGAGGGGGTTCAAGCGGCGTTCAGACGGCGGCGCCACTGCAGGAGGGTGCACCAACAGCCCGAGGGGCGGGGGAATCTGCCCCGCATGCTCACGCAGCCTCGCCGCTTGGCGCCGCCACAAGCCCGTCCTCACCCGCTCGCTGGTTTCCTTCCGCCATGCGCTCGCTCGCCTACAACAGAACAGCCTCAATGGTGGTCCCCAAGCTACCAAAACCCTGCCCCATTGGCTCTGTATCTGCATTCTTGCCATCCCAGCTCCACCACATCCACCCAGAGTGGATCCAAACCCAGCAGCCCCTTAGGTTCCCAGGCATTATCCACTGAAACCTTGCCACCTCCTTGCCAGTTGCAAAACGGCGTTGGTGGTGCAGGAACGAGCGGCATGTTCTTCGAATACCTACGTGATGCCGCCCTCGCGCACCAGCACCAGGCTATGGAGTGCACCAGGCTATGGAGTGCACCAGGCGATGAAGTGCACCAGGCGATGGAGTGCACCTGTTAACACTCGTAAACACCGCACTTGCAAGCAAACTCAATGCGCATGGCACGAGATCTATCGATGGCGTCTTGACTCCTCGGCTTCACGGAACCGGAGGAAAGGGTCCGACCAATGGCTTGGAGGAGCGATTGGTCATACATAGCACTTCAGGTAGATATCAGCAGCGCCGTTAACACGGTCAAAAGAGAGGCTGATTTTTACTACGGCCTTCGCCCACACACGGTCCAGGAACTGCCACCATGCAGCCACACGGACTTGATGATCCCATATGCAACCTTCTCGTATGACGGCCACTCCTGGCTGCTCATCAACCAGTCAGGGAGTTGAGCACATGGTGTACTGCCATGCCACTCTTGGAGGAAAGTAGGGTACTGCTGATCAACCCCTTGCACGCTATGCCTCCTATATCCAACTGGACCATGCATGGGTGAATGTCTCACTACTCCTCCCTTGTCCAACTCCCTCCACCTGTTTCCGCCACAGCTTGCACCCGCTGTGCCGTTCTGATCTGAGTGCACCTGCCTCATCCCAGGAGCTAGCAACTGCTTGTCTTGGACAAGACAGAGATACTCCGCTTCCGCATAACAAGCCACCTCCTCCACTGCAGGACCAGCGAAGGGAAGGACGACATCCATCACACCTTCCGTAACTCACCCAATCTCGCCTCAAGACCCCATACGGTTGGGCAGCCAAGACTGCTGGCCGGGTCAAGCAACGGCATGGGTGGATAGGGCTATTTTTCGCCAGGGTCATGAAGACCTACGGCTCATACAGTGGGCTGAAGTTTTTTTCCAAAACATTCCAAGGTTTTGCCACCCGCCTTTTCCACACATAGCTCAAGTCTCGTGAGGCAGGGAGGAATGTGAGGTTCAGGCAGCAAAGGCGCTCACAGCTGCTCGAGTTTCTCCAGGCGACTGATGGCAGCCGGCAGACTGCCACTCAGACATTGTTGGCAAGATAGCTGCGGGGATAACGTGAAAGAGACATTGTGATATCCATGGTTGCAGAAATATCTACAGCTTGGATCGTTGAGATGCATGGAAGATAAGAATAGCTGGTGGAAAAGCGCGGAATGAGGGAGAGCCGCGAGCGAGCAGAAGAGAAGTGGAAACCCAGTGGAGTGGAGACCTCCGAGCGCTCTGAGGGCACTTGAGTTGAGCTCACAGGGAAGCTAGATTGGTCATGCTGAAGATGGCAGGCGGAATGGAGCCGTTCAGCTGATTGTTGTTGAGGATGCTGCATGCATGCAAGGCAAGCGCGTTGCCATAGGAAGGGGAGCACAGGTGAGTAGACGCAGTGGAGTCAAGAATGCCAGCATGCTACCCAGCTGCTGCACCACATGTTACAGTGGGGCAAAGGATAGAAATCAGGTTCAAGGAATTACTTACACATGCAACGCAGTTGGATTGGACACATGGCTGCAAGCAGTGGTGGCTCACATGCCATTGAGGGAGGTGAGTGTGGAGATAGACCCCATGAAGTTGTTGTGATTGAGAGCCCTATGCACCACCAGCACAACACAGACCATAGGACATAAACACAGAGTTAGGGACTGATACTAACAAGGTTTAAGATGTGAATCAAAGTTGAATAGCCAGAATATGAAGCGGAGAGGAAGGGAGACAATGGGAGAGAATTTGGATTTGAGGGCCTGAAGGAGGGGAGCCTAGCAGCAAAAACAAAAGCAATAATCAGACAGCCTCAGTCGAGCCGCATCTGCAACCCCAACAAAAAGCTTTGCCAATCATCACCAGAAAAGCTGGCCCATGACA